AGTAGAATGGTGAGACGAGGCGAAGAGAACGACCGGTAACGACGACGACGACGACGACGACGACGGCGACGACGACGACGACAACGACGACGACGACGACGACGATGACGATATAGAGAAGGAGAAGGAAAAGAAGAAGAAGGATAGAGAGAAAGAGTAAGAGGAGTGGGGCTTGGAAGAGGTAGAAGGGTGGGAGGTAGGATAGGAATGCGCGGGCCACGGTTGGGGCAGAGAATGAACGAGGGAGGGAGAGAAAGAAAGAGAGAGAGAGAGAGAGAAAGACTAAGAGGAGAGACGAAGAGGGTACCGACGTGTGGGTAGTGAAAGCGAGATGGAGGTAGGAGGTGGAGAGGTAGCTGAGAGAAGGAGACGGACGAAATGGGCACCGGCTCGGTCGGCTCGCTCGCTCGGGGTAAAGCGAAGCCAACAAACTCACGTCAGTTTCAACCTGGAAGGACGCCAGTCTTTCTCGCGCGTTTCTCGTTCCCTAACGATTTTCATTTATTCTTTATAATTATAAAGGAAATCGTGCGTGCGTGAGAGTGTATGTTTCTTTTAATATAAAGAAAAAAAAAAGAAAATAAAAAAAAGATAGAAAACGAAAAGAAGAAAAAAAATATATATATATAAGAAATATTTCCTTCTCTTCCTTGTCCAAAGGATAATTGAACGAAAAGCACGAAAAGAAAATAGAAAGATAAACGATTTTTCGATGAGGGATTGAAAATTACTTTTTGTTTCTTCTTTTTTTTTTTTTTTTCCTCTCTAAGAAAAATACATCGATTTAAATTCGATTTCGACGCGTAATTCGATTCGAGAAAAAAGGGATAGAAGGACGAAGATTTTTTCCAAGCTTGAACGACGGCTGATATGAGCTGGGCGCAATTAAAGCGGTTAACGGAGCCGCGAATACCTGCCCGCCGACAGTAGCCCAAAACCGGTAGAAGCATTCTCCGCGCGATATAGCGCGCGAAACGCGACGACGACGGCAGCTTCTTTTGCGTCCCCATCATTGACGACGACATCGTCGTCGTCGTCGTCGTCATTGTCGTTGTCGTCGTCGTCGTCGTCGTCGTCGTCGTCGTCATCGTCGTCGTCGTCATTGTCGTTGTCGTTGTCGTCATCGTCGTCATTGTCCTAGTCTCTTATTCCTTCTCGTTCGAACACGACACGTCGTCAAGGTGACAAAGTGTTAATGAATCGAAAAACTATTATAGGATGATCGTCGAGAAAGAAGAAAATGTTTTATAGTGCCTCGTGAAGGGGAAAGTGATGTGAGTGATCAACGACAATAATTCATAACGTGACGCGTGTGCTCTGAGTAATCAGCTTCGCGAGAGAAGGAAGAGGATTCGTTCTATCGTCGTGGGATATAAAGTGAAAGAAGAGGAGGTGAAAGGAGAGGATAGAGAGAGAGAGAGAGAGAGAGAAATAGAGAGAGAGTGGGATAGAAAGAGGGATCGGCATCCAGAAGAATGAGACGTCTCGCGTGAGCCACCGCCGACGTTCGAAGCACGCGCTGCGCCTTCCATGAGAGATTCGAGTGATTCAAACGAGCGACGACGAATCGTCGAGAGGCCACGCCATGAGAATCCTCAAAACCCTCCATTGGTACGTTCTTCCGTACGGCATCGATCATTCGTTACGGATCGATTTGATCATTTTTCACGATCGGAGGATGCGATTTATAGATACGTGATATTATCGAGAATCCTCGTTTACTACCAGTTGCTACGAAGGATCTAAAATAGACTTTCGACTTTCTAATACTAGAAAATATTTGTCTTCTTCTTCTTCTTCTTCTTCTTCTTATTCTCGGTGTTCTAGTTCGAAGTGTATCGATTTGTGCATAGAAAGTTTTGAAATAGTGTGTAACGAAGTCCTCGTTAAAAGAATTCATTTTTATTAAAGATAATAAAATGCAGTTGTACGTTCATAACGTATGTATATAATCTCAGATTATATACATACGTTATATTTAATATCATTCTGATGACCGATGAGCAAGATTATAAAACTTTAATATAATATCTGAACTAGATTAATATATTTTTATAAATTTCAATCTTTCTCTGATTTATTTTAAAATAGAACTCCATCCACTCTATGTCATTCTTCATTAATTTGCATTTTACATTACACATCTCATTACTCATATCGAAAGCTTTTATCTAAATGAGCGAGCATTCGGAAGAATGTAAAACATGAATCGACTGAACTGAACAACTATATCTCGCAAAAAAGAATGATATTCGTTCGCTATTGTTTCGAAGCACTTTGAAAAGAATCGCAAATATATATATATATATATATATATATATATATATATATATATATTCGTATTTTGTGCTAATCGTCTTCGTAATGTCTCCATTATATCCGACTTGGATTCGCGTTTTCTTTTCTTTCGAGTAGGTATATATTCCAGGAGTAAATATCGTACTCTATCGTAACTACGTATAACGGTATATTGTACGTGCATTTACTTCTTAAGGAAATAATCAAGACAGAAAATGGACTAAGTCAGCGTAAATGCGCTACTAATTAAATATCGAGTCCGGTATATATATATATGAAAAAGATGGTAAGGAAAGGAGGAAAACTTTTGTATTTCATAGTATTCCAAGTTTTATTCATATTTTTTCTTTTTTTCTTCGTAAGAGACCTCAATTTTCTACCTTTTCTCTCGGCTCACTAACTTGCTTCTTTCTTTATCTAGATTAAATTATTTTATATCTTCAGTTTTAATAATCCGGTTATATTAAACTCGACTATTCCCTCGAATTAAATCCATTTTTCATGCTAAATGTTTTCAATAGATTCGTATAGTATACATGTCTCTCTCTCTCTCTCTCTCTCTCTCTCTGTGTGTGTGTATAAGGAAAATATATAAAAACACTTTGTGACGTAGAAAATCAGTGAAGAATAAATTCATTAAGACGAACTTGGCCGCGTCGTCATCATGACGCGACCTTGCTCTTATCGTGTTGCTTTATCGACCATCTTTTATTTTTGTTAAACTATTTGAGACAACAAATTATTCCCCGTCATCTTTGTCATCTTTCTCATCGTCCTGATTGACAAGCAAATCGTTAACAAGTATGCCTACCAAGGAAAAGCCACCCGATGCGAATCATTTAATAGACTGAGGAATTTCGTGCATGAGAAGCTTTAATAATTGCTCGGGATATACGAATGAATTAATGAGATCGAATTACGTGTTTCCGTTTCCGCGATTTTTCCGTTCGTGTTCGCGAATAGAATGGGCGAGCTGTTATTATTTAACCGATAAGAAAAAACTCGGCTTGTTTGTGTACGCCTAATTTCGATAAATCATACAATCGTGTCATCCAAATACGTGACAGAGAAACATTCTTATTTAAGTCAATACATTATACCAATATATCGTTTTATTATTTATTTCCTTTTTTCTTTTTTTTTTTTTTCTTTTTAATGTTTTTCTTCATTTGTATTTTAGCTTCAATACGAGCCGCATACGTAGGCATCAGTAATTCAATAAGATTATTATGCAAACAACGTTCTCTCAGCTAATATCGGTCAATACCGCGATTACGCAAGCGTCACAAGATTTTCTGCAAGATTTGCCACAGTGAACCTTGATTTTACCATGTTCCCTTGCTAAATACCGTTATTACGAGCATGGCAATTTAGCAAGTTGAATTTCCGTTTCACGACAGCACCGACTAGACTCTTGCACTAAGAGATCCACCGTGGCGATCTTCGATGCGCGTTCGTTACGCCAGTAAATGCCGACAGTGTTATCACGGATAACTGATATTTAACGGATAATAGCGGAAATTCGTCCCTCTTTGAGAAACCGACGTTCAAACGACTTGTAAACGACTTCGTTGTTTGTTGTCGTTCTTAATCATTTTCGTAGAATCGTTTTTTTTCCTTTTGAGATTTCTCGGACTTTCGAGTGTATAGAAAGATAAAAATAAAAGAAAAATATAAACATATATATATATATGGATACACGTATATAGATGGTACATATATAGTAAACGATAATTTAAACGTTGTTATATCGATCTCGTATTATTATTCGCATCGATTTTATTAATCATACGATAATTATTATCGTTTTATAACGAGTAAGTAGTTATTATGAATCTGATCAAATCGTAAATCAAATGTTTTAAATCTTATTGAAATATCAAGATAATAGTACTATTCATTTTGATATATGTTCGTTTATATACTTAAATCATTAAAAGCGTCAATACAACAATAACTCTTAATTGGCAAATTCATGTAAATATTTTTTTAACGTTATTATGTATTATTTATATATACTTCACACACTTACGTTTTCATTTCCATAGATAGCTACTTGTTTAGGGAAATACGAATCATCTTTATGCAATGGTAATTTAAAAAGTAGAAGGAACGGTAACAGAGGAAAGATCTTTGTATACTTGAGAAACACCCTATAAGTACTTCGTTCTTCATCTTCTCTCGGAATTTTTCGAGTAGCTATCCAATGGTGAGAAAAGAAGAAAGGAAGGGTAGTTAGAAATCATCCTTTGTTAGGAATCACCATTCGAATGCATTTGAAACATGAATGGTTTCTTTTAAAGATTATCCTTTAAATAGCAAAAAAAAAAATTCATTTAGTATACAGTTATTTCAAGTTGTTTAGAGTTTAAAATAGTTCTTTTTATAAAATTTAGAATATTTTATAAAGACGTACTTTTTTCGTTTGTATGTGTGTGTGTGAATGTGTAAAGGAGAATAAGAGAATACTTCAATTTTATGAAAATGAAATCGTCTTAGTCTGTGCGTGAGAATATACATATATATACATATACATATATACATATATATGTATATATATATATATATGCATACTAATAATACTAATAATATTAACATGAGCTATCATCTTCCTTCATCATACTGTCGCTTGAAGACCCAACCAAAGTTAACTTTCAAAGTAAGTTTCAAAGTTGACTCATGGAAACGTGAAATGATTTTAGCGAATTCCTCGGAAGATCGACGCAGACGGCCGACCGGACGAAAGTTCGCCGTGTGCTCAAGAGACGCAATGCGATTAGGTCTGTTCGTATTCACTCCACTCTTAGGATATCCGATGGGTTATATCATGGAGAATTATGATCGGTCACGATGAAAAAGGAAAAGAAAAACGATTTTTCTTTTTTCACTTATAGAAAATTTCTACTTTAAAAATAAAAACGTTCAATAAATTTTATTCTAAACGTAACTATTATCTTAACAATATTCTTGAAACTTTTTCAAGCGAATGCAATATGTTAATCTTATAATATTGTTTGTCCGTTATAAAAATTAAGATTGAATACAATTTCGACAATTTGACCAATCAATTTGAAGGCTAACTTAGAAAGCACTGTCGTTGAATTACGTTCAATAAGCCAGATATACAATTTTCCAGATTATTTCTTTTTCTTTTTATCTTATCATATTTTATTTTTATACGCTAACAGAGCGGATTAATCAGATAAGTTATCGTAAATTATCGAGTATTATATTATATATCGCGTATACATAATGAAAAAACATATCCTAGATATTAAAAATAAACAATGTTTGATCTAAACTTAGTTTTTCGTAAAAATTTTAAACTAAACGTCAAATTATATCGTCGAGACAAATTATCGTTTCTTTTCTTTTAATCATAAGCAAAATAATTCACAAGCAAACATTTTTCAAGATATATCCCATCGAATATCGCGTTATTATATCTTTATATATCATTCCAAGTATGCTTTCGAGAGTAACGTAAGCATTGCTTTTTAGTACGGCTAATTTTTCAGTATTAGAAATAGTTCTAGTTGATAGAGATACGTAATGGTTGTCAGAAATACATATATAGATAATACAGGCGTAATCAAAAATAAAATACATCGAACGTACTTCGAAGTTATTAGCTTTTCATTATAAACATAAGAAAAATATTTGATGAGAATTGATCATCGAACTTTCGCAAGATAATCCATTCTCTTCTTATTTCATCTTTCAATTCCGAAACAATCGAATTACTTGCTTACCCTCGATATGATATAATTGACCCACTTAATTGAATTCTATTCTTCTTTAGTGTTCTATGTAGTCCACGTACGTACGTAAGTACTTAAACTCTTCAGCCGCTTTCTCGATTCAGACTATAACTTCGATCGCGCGTCTGCGCGCACGCGCGCAAGCATAACCTTTCTCATAGTTTCGAATATAATATGACAAAAATACTACCTCGACTATTTATTTAATTTGATGATCTAATGTAGATAACATTTATTTCAGAATCGAACAAATGTTTTAGAATTCTAATAATCATAGTATTAATAATAGAACAAAGCCTCGTCGTATACAAAATAAAAATAGAACAAAAATTTGTCATAGATCGACGATCGGGGAATAAAGCAGACGCAAAAAAAAAATGCAATCGACAAAACGAGTATTTTCTCTCAACTCAGATATCTCGCTGCTTTATACGCAGCATATACGCTTAGCTCAAGGCGTCTGAATCACGTATCCTTAAGAAGACACGATTAAATTATGTTTTAACGCGTATCGCATACGTAAAAATGTGTATTCGTATCCTTCGCAGCACCCACGATAGCGCCATATTTTTTCGCATTCGTCGGAGTTGAATCGTGTCGCGAAATGAATTTCATTTCTGAGTTGGAAAATATCGAGCGACGCTTGCTTCCAACCATACCCGAATTTTTCAGTTTTTAAAGCGCTATTGGTTGATATACATATTGTTTCGACATGTATTGAAAGGAAAAGGAAAAAAAAAACGAACGAATTTATCGCGACATACCCGCAGTTCGAAAAATATTAATCTGGAATACAATCTCGATGGAATTTAAAAACCACTTTTATCTCCTGGATTTTGTTAATGTATGTTTTACCTGCACATGACGTGTAATATTTCGTATATTTTTTCTGTTTTTTTTTCTTTTTTGTAATTCTTCTTTTAGAATGAATGTATCGTCTACGTAAACACATATCAGCTAGATTTAAAAAAAAAGAGAAAGAAAAATAACTCGTTCACACCTATTCGTTTATTACTAATGTTGCACACCAACATATTGATACCTATCTCTCATTTATTTCTGATCCTCATTATCTCTTTATTTCGTTCCATATCTCATGAACGCACGTGTGCATTCTCGTAAAGATACGAGCCAATAGCGGCGTAGAGCTTGAATTCTTTCAGGGTCATAAAACAACGAAATTTCTTCATAAAACATTCGAGTATAAGATAAGAGAAAAAGATTTAAGAGGGAGAGAGAGAGACAGAGAGAGAGAGAGAGCGAGAGAGAGAGAGAGAGAAAGAGTACTCTGTAAAGTACTGGTAAGATGACGTTTTTCAAAGAAAAAAAAAGTTCATGACTTAGTTTGTTCTTATAAATTTTGTTAATTAATTATCTTGCAGGAAGTGAAATTCTTTGCAAGTAGACGTTTAACAATTCTTTTTTTTTTTTTTTTTTTTATATTAAATACATATAATGATCAAGTTTTATGAGGCTGCATACTTTTCTTAACTTTATCTTATTCGTCACGACAAACACCATGGGGATACCAAAACGTTCGTTTATCTTTCTTTACTTCGACTGTCGGAGAATTTCAGTGGTCGACGACTCTGGAGTCGTACGAAGAGCACGTATTATTACACACGACGTATGTACGTGCCAGTATGCGACATCTTTTTTGCTTCTCATTATATCGCATATTCGTTCGACGCCTGCAGATGCACCATCGTTATCGTCGAATTCAATGAATTACGTTAAGGTCCTCATCTTCGTATACATCGCCGACGTATTATCAAATTTTACGACGACGTTATTATAAGAACGAATCGCGACATTCATCGATTAAATAAATTTCTTTTCGGGACTCCATAAGATTTTAATCAAAAATTCTTATTGATTATCGTATCTTAAGATAACTAAAAAGGAAAAGAGAAAAAATGAGATCGATTAATCGATCGATCGATCAATTGTGAGCCTCTTGGTGGGATTCTCTCACCGCTGAAACTTACGTTACGTAATTAAATCGCAGCGTGTTCTCAATTTTCTTTGAGAACACGATGCATAAAGTCAAAAGTACATAGTACGTATCGTGTATCATCGTAAGGGCATTTCCATACGTAGTATCGATTACCAATCGTTTGTGGATTCAATCTTCTCCAAGTCTAACTTCTATTTCCATGCGTATCCATTTCTTCGCATACCTTTAATAAATTAAAGCGTGACTTTATGCAGAGTAATGAAATTTAAAGAGCTTTGCCTTTTAATAAACATGTTCTCATAATCATTCTTATATTTTAGTTATGAATCACAATATCTCGTTGATTTTATTAAATAATAGCAAATTGTAGATTATATTAATTTATTAAAACGCCTTTAGAAAATAAAAAGTGATGTAGAAACTTTCTTGTAGACGTTAATTTTTAAGGATATTAATAAATTTCTTTAATTACAAGATCGACCATTTCTATTTTTAATTAATCGATTGTAATCACGAAATACGAATCACGATATCGAATTGTCAGATTTCTCTTGGTATAACTTTAACAACCTGTCCGCGAGTTTCCCCGTCCTAGAAGTTTCCCTGCAGAAGAAAACTTATTGTTAGTTGTCATTGTTCGAAGTTGACGTCGATCGATAACGACACAGATGAGAACAAAGATAATCAAACAGACGAAAATGTTACTCGCTATTTCGTTTATTTTATCTTAGAAAAGAATTTATAAAACAAGAAAAATAAAAATTGCTTTTAAAATTAGTTTTTAAGAATTATAGTATTGATTAACGATAAAATATTAACTTTGAATACTTTTGGAAAAGAAAGAGATTGAAAAATAGTTTTTAATAAAGATCCTTTCGAAATTATTCAACGACGAGAATACATATTTACATATAAACTCAAGAATATTCGATTTTCAACGACACTTCGTATTTCCCTCGAGAAATATGTAGGTCTTAGAATCTTTGAAACGTTTTATCGCGAAGCAAACGATGCTCTCATGTTTGTTGGGCACGTTATTTCCATATTCTTTATCCAGCATCCCTTTTACACGCGAGTAGTATACGATAGAATCGTTATTTGGGCATTCAATTGGAGAAGATAGAAGAATAGTAAGAAACGTCGGAAAGGGAAAACTAGAAAGAAAGGCATCTACCCAATGATCGACTCAAGGAGAATTATCATTTCTTAGAAGTATTTTAAAACGTTATCGACGATTATTTCAGGTCCCGTCGACGTAGCGGCAGTGGCGCATCGGATATACAGCAACAGCAACAACAGCAGCAACAACAACAACAGCAGCAGACGCAGCTGCAAGAGAACAACAACGGGAGTTCACGGGATACAGGAAAGAAATTGCAGGAGGGATTGGGTCCCGATGAGATGTGGGCTCCTGGTGCCCTAGGCCATCACCGGGAGCTACCAGTCGATGTGCCCGACACCTTATTACAGAAGGCCTATCCCAATAAGGTAAAGAATTGCTCGCCCGACTATCGGAATGAGCTTCGTCGTCCCCGTAGCGCTAGCGACTTAGACCTCTCCCTAAACGTTAAGAACGATATTTTAAAAAAACGCACGACGGACGATCGCGTGAGGCTTGGTCTAACAGCCGATCGGCCTGACGTCACCGATGGCCCACGCTCGATCCTCCTCAACGGTGGCGGCAAGCCGTCGATACTCGAGATCGAGCTAAAGATCGGCTCGAAGGAGGAGGAGAAAGAGGAGGAGAAAGAAAAGGATAAAGAGGAACTGAAAGAGTTTCAGAAGGAGAAATTGAAGATGGAGAAGACAAACGGTAGTATATTGAAAGCTATCGAGATGAAAGATCCAAAGAGTCCCTTCAGGGGCGATCATGCCGATGACGAAGACGAGGAGGAGGGCTCCAGCGAGGAGGCAAATGGTCAGAAGGAATCGAGCGTGGACATCGAAGATGAGTATCCTTTCGCTAAGGAAGACTATCCAACAATGTTGAAAACCTGTAGTGACGACTCGGCAAGTCCACGCAGTTCCTCGAGCCGATCGGATAGTACAGCACCATTAGATACTAGTCTGGTGCTAAGGCATAGCACCGACGAGAAGAAAAAGAAAAGTAAGAAGGTTAAAGCTCGTGACAAAGATTCACCGAGCTATGACGCTAGGCGAATCGATCTTGGCTCACCTTGCCGACCTGTCGTTACTGAGCTACCGATCAAGGTGACGCCTCTATTCGCTCGTGCACGCGATACGACCTCGTTTGACAATCCGGCGTATGGCTTACCGGATTTCCAAGACATTCAGGGTCTCCTGATTAGATCGGACGAGGTGTCGGATCTCACAAGACTCATCGATGAGCAATGTCCAATACCAAGAATGCCAGCTAGTCTTCAAGATCGGACACAATCGGAACCTCAGAGTCCTCAGATCGAATCCTCAATGGTGATCCTTGGTAATACAACATCGAGAAAGAGTTCGAAACACCAACAAAAGGAGAAGTTCGCGATAAAAACGAAAAGTCAGGATCAGATCGAAGAACGAGTAAGTGCGAGCTCGACCGACGATCTTCTTGGAATCGAATCTACCAATTGTCTCGAGTCCTCCTCCGCTCGACAAAGATCCAAGAAAAAACGTCATCAACAGATATCAAGCGGTTACTCGACATTAAGAAGCGAGGTCTCGAGCGATCTCGAATTCACCGATCGCAGCTTCCTTGTTGTCAGTGGGAAAGGTTATCGCGAGGTTGCCGTTGATTGTCCACCTGACTTCGTACCGGTCACCAAGTGCCATCCGATTTATCCTCCGCCAAACAAAACGCCCGGCAACAGCAAGCACAACACTCTCGAACTGAAACGTGATCGTAATGGAGAGAACGTTGTCGTCAGAGAGACGACAACGACGACAACGACGACAAGTACGATGACAACATTGAACACGATGACCATGGCGAACAACATAGTGACCCTAGATTCCCCTAGACTTCGCTCGAACGATATAAATCTCTCAATGCCGAACAAAGCACCGATCGTGTCGTCACCTCCCACGCTAGCCACCGATGCTAGCGCTAGGGAAAACGTAGTCGCGCGTACGATAGACCGAAAGCACGAGTCCAAGAAGGTAAGGTCCAAAGTAAAGAGCTTCCTTATCGAAAGCTTCTCCTCTATCATGCACCAAGATAAGCCTCGCCGGCACAATAGTAAAAAGCTTCACCTAGACGCTTTCAGCACGAATCTAGAGCTTCGCTCTTACGATTTCTCTCTTTCTAACCAGACATCTCGCTTCAGCGAGAGATCCTTTAAACGGTCTTCCTCGATTCACGATTTATTTGCTCCTGAACACAAGAAGGATTTCCGTTTATCCTGCATCGCTACCTTATCCACCGATTACGACAATCGTGATCACATTGATGAATGTAAAGTCGTTTTTCTCGACGATGACAGAGAGAGAGAGATTCTCTCGTTCGAGACCAATCAGAACTCACGAAATTCCCAACGCGAGAATTCCTCCGTTAAAGACATTACGACGATCATGGACCTTCTCGAGGATCGCGCTAAATCTTCCTTAGACATATCTCCGGATACGCAGAATAAGAAGAACGCGAAATTGTCGCTTGAATATGAAAAACGATTGAGATCGCAAAGCGTTTTGGATGTAACCAACTCAAAAACTATGTTCGTCAAACCGATCGCGAGAACGAACTCTATTGAATCCAAATTTATTACAATCAATCGTTCGCCATTCTCGATGAATATTCTTCAGAAAGGTACTTTTTCGTCCGCTTCTTCTCTTCTTCCTCCTCGTCCTCTTTTCTCTGCTTCTTTCTCCTCTCGCAATCCTGACGGACAAACAACACCGGACTCAACGAGACTCACGTCGAAGAACAGTGCGTACAACACGCTATATGCTTACCAGGACCACGACGATCTTTGCGTACTACAGGTAAACCGCATAAGAGACTCTGCTTCGAATTTCCGAGTGTTCTTGCATTGCGTAACGTCTTGTCCGTTCGAGCTGTTGATGCGAAACACTCCTTTCCCATCTTTTCTCTTTTATCTTGTATTTTCTTTGTTTCTTCCTTTTTTTTTTCTTTTTTTTCTTCATTTCTTTGATCGGAAAATCTTTATTCCTATTTCGTCGAACATTATCAAAGAATTTTCGCAAATCAGCTCGTCGGACGAGATACGATATTAAAAGCATGGGGGACGAACCTTTCGAGGACGTGCGATGCAGCATGGTAAAGTAGAACTTTCTATACTTGTTTTATTATACGACTGTCCTACGAGTGAGCAGTGGTTTGTATCTCTTGTATGTTCTATCGTAGGAATTAGACGGCACGTGCCTAGTTTGTATACCTTTACTCTCACTGAATCCACTTCCTTCTCCGATCGTTCCAACGATTTCTTGGTCATTCTTCTTTTTGTTATATATATATATATATATATATATATATATATATATATATATAAATGTATCTTTTATCTAGATACGCGGCACGAGTTTGAAGCGTAGCGTGCCGTGTTAGGGGATCTTTTTAAGAAAGGGTTTATTTTTTCTCTTTTTGTGATGGTAATAATAATAATAATAATAATAATAGAAATAATGGAAATTGTAATGAATTAGTTAAACGAGAGGAGACTATTTATCTCTTTTCGTCTCTCACTTACGTATTCTCTTTCTTTTTCTTTCTTTCTTTCTTTCTTTTTCCCTCTTCTCTAACTATCTGTCTATAGATTTTTGGAAAAAGAAAAATGTAGTTTTGTGCATGGCCGAGCTCAAGGGACGATTAATTCGAACCACTTTTTGGAATGGGTTTTTAGGCTGGTCTTAATGGAGTCAAACCTGCCATCCCGCCCAGAGATCAAAAAAGGGCACCCGCTAGACCACCGAAGGATAGTCTCAGACTTTCGAGCCAGAACAACAACGTCGAGAGCAACGATTATGCTAATACTACGGAACCTACGCAGCAACAGCTTCATTCCATTAGGAAATATCAGGTATGTTCTATGTTGTCTTGCGCAAAAAAAAAAAAGAAGAAAAAAAAGCACGAAGAAGTCCGCAATATTTCGTAATCGAGTTTACGAAAACTCAACTTCGTCTTTGTCGTTTCTTGTCATCCTCTCGTAATTATGAAACTCTTACATTGAATGACGTCGTTCCTTCGTTTTTGTAATTTCTTCTTCCTTCTCTTTTTGTTATTGCACAATATCAGTCCAATTTGATTAGCGATTAGATAGAATTAAATTGCAATGTTTCCTTTTCAATTCATGTAATTAACACATTCCTCATCGGTGATGCAACACGAAATTAGGATAATTTGTTTACATTGAAATCGTAATTTCGACTTATGCGAAAATGATATGATGATGTTTTTTTATCAATGATCGCCGGTAAACATCTCGATCAAGTTTGTGAGCGTTTCGTTCTCCTTCATCGGATATTTATGGTCGTTGGCTCCGACTGGTCGCATGCCAAAATTTATGAAGATTGACAGTTAAACGATAAAATTAGTCGATCAAGTCTAAACGGAATTTACATCGTCAAAAATAAATTGAGTACATGATGCGTTTCAAGCGATAAATCATGCAATTCATTTTGTCCTCCAAATTGTCTTTTAAGTATCGTTAAGTCTCTATCTCGCATGATTTTCTTTGTTGTTAAAAAGCTTTACATGACGATTGTAAAAAGTTCAATTTTCGATTTCATATAAACGTGACGTCGAGAAAATATTTAATGACAAATAAATATAGAGATTGAAAAGTATTTTGAAAATAATTTCATGGTCGAATCAAGTTCGCATAAACCAACAAATATCGTAATGCGTTGAGAGTTAGTATCTTTCTCAAATTATTATCATTTTCAAAAAATCACAATACGTTTATCCACGAACGAAAAATAAGCCCGTTTTCCAATTCGGTGATACGTTTGCGTGATGTAATACCGGTGTTCAACGACAAATGATTATTCACCTAGGAGACAAGGTAACCCGTTGAGTTCGTGAACATTTGGACAGGAAATCACGGATGCGAACGCGACAATGGCTAATGGAAACTCGTTGTGCCATACTACGATAGTCATACAGTTGTACAGTTTCCGTATTTCCTATTTGGCATACTAACGGTCGTATTTCGATCGATCGACGAGAGCTACTTTAACTCTTTCACTACCTGTTCACTACCTGTCACTACTTGTTCACTATTCATGGTAAATATAATAAAAGAAATAACAGATATTTTTTCATCGGTTAAATTTCTTTAAAAAATATTATCTTTTTGTTTCTCGTTGTTTGTACATTAATTACGAGAGTCTAGAATATAATTGATGTTTCAACTTGAAAAGTAAAGACTTCGGGACCCAACTATGAAGTACTGTAATTTAGCGAAGCAATAAACGCTTCGAAGTTAATGCGTTTCTCTCGGAGGTACGACGATAAGATTTTGCGCCAGCGTAGGAAGATCGTTTCTACGGTAATTACATAGTCATTAATCGTTATCGTCGATGAAGATCGTATCTCTCTCTCTCTCTCTCTCACTCTCTTTCTCTATCTCTCTCTTTCTCTGTTTGCTCTTCGAAAAATACTGAAAAGTTAGGATATATAGTACATATTCGATATAGTAATTCATAGGAGAAGGTGAGCATAATACGTTCATGCGTGTTCCACGAAGAAGAAAAAAAGAGAAGAGGAGAGAACGCCGTGTGTCTCTCTCCTCGAATACGCAGGCGTGGCTAGAGTCGTGAGTATGTTTATCTTATAGAATCCTCACACCGTTCTCTTTCGCCTTACCTTAAGTCAAGCGTGCCTCGGAATGCAAAGAACTCCGGCATGCTTTAAGATTATACGCCTCGAGTGTAAGCTTAACGAGTTTCGATACTTATACGCGTACACTTTCCTTTTCCCACCTCCGCTTTCCCTCCATTTTTTAATATACAAATGTCCCCTACGACAATAATACTCTTTCTTTTGTTTGATAATTAAACCCATATATGTATTATCAATTCAATTTTTTCTTCATAAGACATGATATGCAAGGAATGTTTAATCTTTTAATGCATAATTTTAAATGAATATCAGATCATAGCTATTGTTATGAAAATTCAATTGATAATATTTAATTAAAAAACTAAAACGTTACAGACATTAAAATATAAATTAAATTACTTTAATCATTAATAGATCATCATTTCACAATCACAAGTATTTAAAGAAAGAACTACAATTATATACTTCCTTCTTTATATCTTAAAAGGAACAACTTCAAGAACTCGAAGCTTCCTTTGCTTTGTCAAAATTGCTGAGACGTTGAAATCTGAGCAATATGAAGTTGCCAAGGAACGTATTAAAGTCTCTCCTTGGTTGATCAATGTCTCGTTATAAAGTGATCCTTCCAACAGGCGACAATGTAATAGAAATATATATGTGATGTGTGTATAGATATATATGTGTATATATATATATATATATATATATATATATATATATTCATGTATATCGAACTTACGGTCTAAACGGTGCCGCCTTTCTCATTCTCATCTCATAGCAGACTTTAGCACTGTTGGGAACTTACAGAACGAGCAGAGCTCACGTTAAAGAAACCCTACGTATCATCCAAGTAAACAGGGCTTCGGCCAAGTATTCTCGCGCACATAACAGCACGCACGAGTTGCCATCGTATCGCATCGCATCGTATCGCATTGCGTCACATCATTCGTTCGGTGGTTATATAAAAAAAGTCGATATTTTAAAGAAAATGTTCACAGCTGATCCGTGAAATTTGAACTCTGTCTTATCGGTTCTTTAAAAAGAAAATTCACTTAGATTCTTTGACGATGACCTTTAGAAATTTCATCCAATATCGACCTACATATCCCTCGATTGGATAAACGTTTTTTTTAGATAAATTTGTATCACCTTATTATAGATTTAATTGTAAATTCGAAAAATTTCTATTACTTATTTCATAAAATTATAATATCGATATACTTTAATATGTACGTAACCGTTAATATTTTTGCACCGATGCGTGATAATTCATATTTTTTTTCGTATCTATAAAAAAAATTATAAAATTTTTATAATTTTATAACTTTATAATACATATATATAATACATATTACTTATATTAATATAATTCTGAAATGAAAAAACTAATGAAAAAACTTTGAATGTGTAGAAATAATTAATTTTCTAATCATAAAATAAAATAAAACTTGGAAGATACAGATATGTAAATATATTGGCTTAAAAGTTACGGGAATTGGCATTGTAGAATTTTAAGAGAAAAATACATTTATATCTTTTGACATTGACCTTTAAAATTCCATTCTACAGGTTCCACAAGTTCGTTGATTAAAAAAACGTTTGTGAAATATGTTCGAATTGCCATATTATGGTCCAAGTTCAAAAGAATTCTTTTTCTGACAGCGATAGAACTGCCTTGTTTATTCCATAGAATATAACACAATGCTCGATATATATCATGTGTATTTAATCACAGGTATTTTCATAGTAATCTATTGTATTCATTATATCGCGTAATAGATTCCTTGACTTTTCTCTCATGCGAAATAGCAATTATATACTCTTAGTATATCTATTTAGAAAACTTTTCACACATAATGAATTAATCATTCCTTAGAAACCATCTTAGAAAGGGACAATACATATATCATCCATTCTTCTTCAATACTTCTATATCGTTTATGAATTATATATATATATATATATATATATATATATATAATATATATATATATATCCTTTGAAGATTAAAATAATGAAACGAATCTAAGTGGAAGTAATTTTGGTCGATCTCGCAATATTTACAATTTTCTATTGGCTTTTTATTGGCCACTATCCTTTAACCATAAGGGTCATATTCGTTCAAGCGTAATACAATTTTGACCCTCATACGTAAAATAGTGAAGAACATATGTTCCATAGCATCGATGATACACCCTTAATGCATTGTGAATTTCGCAGGTGCGAGTCTTCTATCATTCAAAATCTTTTTAATGACCTTGGTGATTTTTTAACGTGATAATAAATATAAATAATTCAAATTGATACAAATTCTGTTCACTAAGAAGTATAAGAATATATATATATATATATATATATATATATATATATATGTATCTGTATGTATGTATATGTAAATCACGTTAATACCCAGTTTTATTATCTGTGAATACTCTCATTTCCAAGGATATATTTTCTCTTTTCTTCGTAAGATTGAAAAAGAAAGTTTTAGTTTCCAGGATTTATTCTTTATATTTATCCTGGTTTCTTTCTTTTTGGGTTTCATTACTTTCCTTGTCAAAACTTAAAAACGAGGTCTTGATAATGGCTTTCATCAACCATCTTTCTATCCTTCTCGTTTAAATTCTTAAAGTGCATGGGTTATGATCTTCGTACACCTACGCGTTAACTAAACATCAATGTAAGGGGCATGTAAAAATTGTATCTAAAAATATACCAGTCTCTTAAATAGGTCGTTGAATAAATTATCGAGATTAATATAATTGAAATATAATTTATACTAAAGCAAGGACTTAACGATCATACATAGATAGATAATAGTAAAGATGTATTATATATTTTTATTTTGAAAGATATATCGGATATAATTTTATAAATAATTTTAGAAATTTAATATAATGGTATATCGATTTAGAAAATACTATTATTAATTATTTATTGTTTTATTTTGTTTAAGGAACAATTACGGAAACGTAAGGACGAGGAGGAGAGACAAGAAATCTTGAATCGATCGCTTCGTGGCTCAACGAAGCTTCAAGCTTTAGAAAGTCATGCCACGAATCTTACCGGCCAAGAGAATCTCGCATATGCTCAAGACGAGTTGACCACCACTGTTAGTCGTCCTGTTCATGTCGCACCTCAAGCGCCCTTAAGTAAGTCTACCTTTTCTTATTTCCTTCTTTCTTTATTCGTACGTGCTCGCTAGCCAAGAATGAATAATCGAATTAAAACCACGAAAGATCTCACGGTTGAGCTTATTTTTATATTTATAGAAAAAAGAAAAAAAAGAAAGAAAGAAAACGACGTTATCGTCCACTTGGAAAATATTTTAAGCCCTATCATTCGAGCACTCAAGTCTCGTTTTATTTTATCTCAGCCTTCTTCTGAAAGCACAAATTTCTTTATCCGAAATGTTATCTGAAGATTTTCGAAGAAACCTTCTTTAAGAGCGTCTCTTACAAAGATTTCGACTTCTTCAGATTACTCTGTATAACGTCTAATGGTACGAGTCGTGAAATAACAAGAGGAGTACAATCCTAGCTTTGACGAGTAGTCTTTACATATTTCAGCATACGGAGAGGTCGTTGCCACGTTGGAGAGATTGCAGCTTCAGTTACGAAATATCTCCGGTGCTCTCGGCATTTCGGGTCCAAGTGTGGAAGCCGAACTTGAGGCAGTTCGGACGCTTTTGCTACAAAGCCAATTTGCAACTGCCATAGCTACGCATTACGCCTTGAAAACGCGATTAAGGTCGAACAAGGTTCTTAGACATCATGCCGAAGATTCATCGACATTAGCTCGGGACGTATGTATACGTTATTCTAATATTTAGATAGATTGATTGACGTTTATTTCTAAATTATTAGATGACGCAAAGAAAAAAAAAAAAAGAAAAACACAACAACAATTATGCGAAACATACGTGTATTTGGTAAAAATAGATATATATATCATATAAATAATAATACACTTATTATTAATATATACTTATCTATCAGAAATATTTATATATTATTATTCCGAATGTTATTAATGATTTTGAGATAATGTTTACCTGTTGTTTTTTTTTTGAGAAATGTTACCTTCGATTTCAACAAAACAATTTCTCTGTCATTTATTTGTTTCATTATTGCAGTGCGTAGACGTATTAGAAAAATGGCAATCATCATCAACGGCAACGGATGTTGGTGCGGCGGAAACGATGGCTGCCGTGGAGGAGCTGACGGGTATTCTTACGAGTTACGACATGGAGGCGTTACTTATAGCACATGATTCTATAGTTTCGTATGTGGAAGGCTTCCAAAGAAAGCACAGTCCTGCGTCTTCGTCACCAAGTCGCCCACCAAGTCCTACATCGAGTTGGAGAGAGTCACGTGTAGATAATATCAAAATAATTAGGATCGAAAAAACTAACGAACCTTTGGGTGCTACTGTTCGAAACGATGGTGATGCAGTTATTATCGGTATCTACCTAAATCGCTTAAAAATATTCTAAATTAAAATGAATAAATCCAATGACGAATATTTCTTTCCAAGGTCGTGTTGTTCGAGGTGGTGCAGCAGACAAGTCCGGACTCCTGCATGAAGGAGATGAAGTTCTAGAAGTTAATGGAGTTGAAATGCGTGGAAAAAGTGTTAACGATGTTTGTGACATTTTAGCTGGCATGCAGGGTAGTCTTACGTTCTTGGTATTACCAGCACCAACGAATTACCGAAATAATTTGAATAATAGGAAAGAGGACACTAATCAAGTAAGCGAACGAATTGTTCTTCTATAAACTTTCTTGTATAATCTTATTATTGATAAAATGAATATTTGTTTTAGATACAGCATATACGTGCACACTTTGATTATGACCCTGAAGAGGATCCATATATACCATGTAGAGAACTCGGAGTTAGTTTCCAAAAAGGTGATGTTTTGCATGTGATTTCTCAAGAGGATCCAAACTGGTGGCAAGCTTATAGAGAAGGTGAAGAGGATCAAACTTTAGCTGGTCTTATACCCAGTAAAGCCTTTCAGCATCAGTAAGTTTTCTTATAAAATAATTTATTGTATACATATGTTTGATCAACTTCAAAATATTATTCGAAATGAACAAAATTGATAAATAAATAAGGAATAAGGAGAAAATAGTTTATGTTAAATAAAAGGTGATAATAACAGAGCTTCGTAAAATATAAAGTTAGGCAGTGGAATTTATGCAAAGCGTTCAAGAATCGGGGTGTGCCGTGGTATACGACTGGTTTAGTCATTGCATAAATTTGTGAGGCTAATGCTTACATCCATGATACTTCGCAGACGAGAATCCATGAAGCAGACGATAGCTGGTGGAAAGTCGACGGTACGGGGTTCGAAGAAATCTAGTACACTATTGTGTGCGAGAAAAAATCCAAAGAAAAAAAAACGAAACAAACTTGGTACCAATTTCAACGACGACGGTTATCCTCTTTATGCGACGACAACGATAGACGGTAAACATAGTTTTTTCTTTTTCTATTTGATAACATAATATTATAAACCGTTAGTAATAACATTGAGGAGTCATTTGTAGATTACGACAGCGAGGAAGTGCTAACGTACGAAGAAGTAGCTTTATATTATCCAAGAGCGAATCATAAGAGGCCTATCGTTCTTATTGGTCCTCCTAACATCGGTAGACATGAGCTGAGACAGAGATTAATGCAAGACAGCGAACGTTTTGCAGCTGCTATTCCTCGTGAGCATTATTTTCTCTTTCTTCGTATCAATAATTTTTCAAAACGAGTAGAAAGATATCTAATGATTTTTATTTTGCGGTATAAACTGATATTTAAAAGACTCGTCGTTTTCTTTAGATACGAGTCGTCCAAGGAAGGACTCAGAAGTTGATGGTCAGGATTATCACTTTATCTCTCGCTCACAATTTGAATCTGATATTCTCTGTCGGAAATTCGTTGAACACGGCGAGTATGAAAAAGCATATTACGGTACTTCTGTTGAGGCTATAAGATCGGTTGTGAATTCTGGGAAAATCTGCGTCTTGAATTTACATCCTCAAAGCTTGAAGATCCTACGGAGTTCGGACTTAAAACCATACGTGGTCTTTGTAGCACCTCCTAGTCTCGAGAAGTTACGACAAAAACGTATTAAAAGCAACGAGAGTTTTAAGGAAGAAGAATTGAAGGACATAATAGAGAAGGCTCGGGAGATGGAAGACAAATACGGTCATCTATTCGACATGATCATCATTAATAACGATACGGATCGTGCTTATAATCAACTTCTTACAGAAATTAATTCATTAGAAAGGGAACCACAATGGGTACCTGCGTCTTGGATTCAGTAATGGTATACTGAATGGATGACGAATGTGTCTTAGATATCAATGCCATCGCGAGTTTAATGGCACGTTACTAAATACCGATTAAGAAACAGATTATAATATAAATGAATTGATTCTTTCGTAAGTACTTACTCGTTACTGGTTTTGCGTGGTAAACTTGTACCTTGTTGAACGATTGCAAGTACTACGATTGAGATGCCAATTGACGATCATTTTAAAATTCAAATCTTGTAGTTCCTGATGGCCGAGGTTCGCACGTCGTTTGTAAGCGAATCCTCATGATGTCAAAATGACATTGATCGATCTGAATCGGTTTGACTCGGACGATAAGATTTTTGAAGGAACAATGCGATATCAATTTCTCATGTTAGAATTATAAATGCAGAAAATCTTGTTGATCCTGGGATAACCATTATGTAGAATTAATTCGTTTAAAATGAAAAAAAAAAAAAAATCAAGTTGACGCGTGAAACGCATTCGCAAAAAATTTTATATTTCGATCATCTATCTGGACCTTCGTATCGCAATACAATATATATTTATCCAATCACTTTTCAATTTACTATAACTAAATCGTCGTGTTTATTATATTTTTTAAATCACATTCTCATTTCTTTCTTTCCTGTTAATTTATCGCGATATCATTAACATTTAACTGTTACGTGTTGTCCCATTCAAAAATCAAATCTATATCAAAATTCTTATTTTACATTACGACGAAAGAATTGTATCTCCCGACTTATAAATATAATAGAAATGTCGACTGATGATCGTACTAGCGAATAAGTCGTTTTAATGCGACAGTTTGAACATAAAATTTTTAATAGAATTTTAGATAAACTCATCAATTGTCTAGTAGTACGTTTATTGAGAAAGAGAACTATTACTTTAAAAAGTTCTTAGAGAAATATTGAATGTATAAACAGAAAAAAAAAATAGGACGTAGAATGGAAAAGTGAAGGAAAATGAAAAAGTTAAGGATGCGTTTAAGTAAAAATATAAGAAAATAGTAATTCTCCGTATTTAAAATGCAAACAAAATACAGCTCGGTGTTCGACTTAAAATGGTGCTTTAAAGTTGATATGGTTCCTTGCAATTAGGTCATCGATATATTTTCTTGTGCTTCTTAAATATTTTAAATACACGTACCCTGTTAAAAGTGAATGATGATAAAACGATGATATAGCTTAGACGGGGAAGTTACTCATTTTACCGTCCTGCGTAAACAATATATAAACTCAATGAATATTCGAATAGATACGAGCGATTAGTTACGATCGACACTGTTACATTAATAACGACTAATTCTTAAGTATGATCATAGAGTTTATAGAGAGAAGATCGTTAGAGAGACTTCCGTTATGTCTTCGATGATTTACTTTTGTAAAAATTCGTATCGTCAAATCGATATTATTAGACAAAAAGTATTTTATAAAGGTAGTATCTTTTTTATAAATATAATTTTAAAGAGTTTCATTAAAGCATATCACACGCAAGAAGTTCATACGAATCATAATACTCGTAAAATCCGTGACTCCTTTATTCTTGGCATAGCTATTGACTTTTATCGCACGTCTCTAATAACAATAGTTATTAAAAGATAAATTCTCTCTGTGCACGAATAAATCGTTACGAACGTCATAGGAGTTGCTAAAATTAACGTCGAAAAAAATCTTTTTAATACTCTTTTTCTAAAAATACGCAAGAATATTACGTCGTGCCAACGTCTTTGCACTTTTATCATAGTTTCGATCGTCGTACTACTCCGAAAAACCCTTTCAAAAAATCCCAACTTACGATATGGTCGATGTAAAGTCGAGCAGTGAATTAAAAAAAAAAGAAAGGCGCTCATAGTGTTATCGATGTGCTCCCCCCTCCCCCCAAATTCCGTCTTGCGTGTATTCACGTACTGGTTATTAAAAATTAGGATTACGAATACTGCTCCGAAAGTGCGTTTACAAGCTGATTTTTGTCAACTAAAGGAACTAAATGATCTTTTCATTTAATTCCTAAACAAATTCCAGGTATATCTTCCATTATTCTACTTTTCATAGTTACGATATAGAAACAATTACTCTGAATCTATCTTGTAAACTCGCTTTTCGAATTGGTCTCGTAATAGTGATATTAAGGAGCGAAGAAAGTTCATTAAAAAGAAGAAAACTTAAGAATAAGAAATAAAGAGAGAGAAAAACAGAAAAAAAGAAAAGATAAGTCAGATTACTCTCGTCGGTCTAAAAAAAAAAAAAAAGAAAAAAAAATATGGGCGAAATTTCGCATGGATCAAGTAGAGCAGATTAAACGTTCATTAGATCGATGATGTTAAGATTAGCTGTCGAGAACAGAATAGATATTTAAGATAAAAAAAAAAACATAAATGTCGATGTCGAAACATTGTAAAACTAGACACATTATTAGGGAACTATTACTTCGTGATAACATTATAAAAAATATCTATAGCCCAGGATACCTACGGAGAGGACGAAAAAAATATAAAATATTAAGTTAACTTGTCCCATCGGATGAACTAAGTAGAGAAGAGGGGACAATATTCTGCCAAGTTTATTAAAAGAGAGGAATAATATGCGAATGAATTTCTGAGATGTGCCAAAATACTTCTGGGTAAACGTTTAGTGGAGGATTTAAATAAACAAAACAAAAAAAAATAGGGAAAGAGAAAGAGAGAGAAGAAAAAAAAGAAAACGTATTTTAAAATGCGCTCAAAAGAAACTTTTAGGACGTAT